TCCCAAAGAGGCCCACTACAGGATGGGTGCAGTTGAGCGCTTGCGTGCAGTTCGCCGCCTACAGCTCTACAAGATGCAACAAGGCGAACCCAATTTGGAACTTGCTGACGCCGTTCGCATGGCTTGCAATCAGAGGAACCGCCTTCGCAATGTGCATGGCTCCTCACCTGCTCAGATGGTCTTTGGCTACAATCCAGCCAGTGGTGGACTCATAGATGAACCGGCACCAACTCGACCTGATGTCCACGAGGCCATTCAGCAAGACCATGCAGTGAGGCATCTTGCATCCAAAGCTTTCTATGAAGCAAATCATGATGCACTCCTCAAGCGCTCCATTCTGTCTCGCTCCCGACCTGAGCTTGCACCTCTTCAGTTGGGAGACTATGCATTCTACTGGAGATCTCCCGAGACCAAGCTTGACGCTCATCGCTGGCGTGGACCTGGACTTGTGTGCGCAATCGAGCCTCGCGCCACTGAGGATGGCATTCTACGACCTCATGTCTACTGGTTGGCCCATGGAAGTAGCTTGGTTCGCTGTGCCCCTGAGCATGTCCGCGCTGAAGTGCCTGCTGAGCGCTTAGCCCGTTTGGAATCCATGCCGGACACTGCTCTCCGTCAGCCTGTTTGTGACCGAGTCCGCAATTCCTTGATCCCTGTGCAGGGTCCTGTCAGATTTTTAGATCTTGCCCCCGGTCCCACCTTTTCGAATGCAAAGGCGCCACTGTTGTCAGCGACCTCACCTCCACCACTGGCGAATGAGCCGCTTGAGCCGAAAGAAGATGACAGCATGACCGGACGAATGGGAGAAACGACAGAACAGGATCAACAAGCAGCTGCAGCACAAACAGCCGCCGCTGCAGATACAGAACCACACACACACACCCGTCACGGCAGCTGCAGACACACAAACAGCCGCCGCTGCAGAAACACAAATCACAGCAACAGCAGGAGAAAGAAGAGAAAACAGGGCAAGATCGAGGAGTCCCATACCCAGAGATGAACGCGCAGCCTCTTTCGAGAACTTGAGGCAGAGCGCTTGGAAGTCCTACAACGATGCACGCACCCTGGACGGCCTGCCTGCAGTTGGTGAGGATGACCGCTCATTCCAGAACCGCTTCAATGAAATGAATGCTGATGAGAGCCTGGTTGCTGAAGCCTTCAGCGAAAAGAAACTCACACCTGCAGAAAAGCAGTTGTTCGAGGAGGCTCGATGCAAAGCATTGCAGGTCTGGTTTGATCATGATGCTTGGCGACCTGTCAATGAGGACGAGGCCCATGATGGTGAAGTGATCCCTGCCAGGTTCCTGCAACGTTGGAAGCCGATAAAAGAAGGGCCACAAGCGAATGCTCGAGTCATCATCCAAGGCTTCAAGCACAAGGACGTTCTCAATGAGGAGCTTGAGCGGGAATCTCCAACTCTGTCCATGCTTGGCCGACATTCCATCTATGTCATGGCAACTCACAAGCGATGGAAACTTTGGTCAGCCGATGTGAAGTCAGCCTTCATGCAGGTGGATAGCATTGATGCAACCACGAGAATCTATATCCGACCTTCAGCTGACATGCGTCGCTTGCTCGAGAAAAAGATTGACCTCAAGCCATGGCAGATTATGAAAGCCTGCAAACCAGCTTTTGGAGATGTTCGTGCACCACGGCAATGGAATAACACAGCAAACGAGTACTTACTGCATGAGTTGAACTTGACTGCACACCCCCTCGATCGCTGTGTGTATCTTTCTTTGCGACAAGCTGCCGATGGTGATGACCCCTTCTGCGTCTTCGAATACAATGGAACGCATTGCATTGTTGATGGCATTCTAGGCCTCCATGTGGATGACTTCATTGGTGCTGGAGAAGGTGTCACGACTTTGAATGACATCACAGGTGAGTTTGAATATGATGAGAACACCTTTGTTGGCCGCCTTCAAAAGCTTTCCCGTCGATTCAAGTTTGGCAGCTGGGACTTTGGCTCGAGTCTTGGAGTGAAGTTCTGTGGAGCCGACGTGGTCCAGAGTTTGAACCACGAAACCATCCAGATTTCCCTCGAGCAATACTGCCAGAAGGTGAAGCCGATTTGCTTGGATAAGTCACGGAAAACAATGGTCAACGATGCTTGCACTGACAAAGAGCACAAACAACTTCGTGCACTGTTAGGCGCACTTGCTTGGCCAGCTCATCAATGTGTACCACAACTTTGTGCCAGTGTCAGCATCTTGCAGTCAGCATCCAGCAGCCCTTTGATCAAGGACGTCAATGAGGCCAACAAACTGCTGAGGTTTGCAAAGAATGTGACCAAGGAGTACAAGATGACCTTCCACGCCCACGGCGACATCTCTTCGCTGCGCATTGGTGCCTACACCGATGCTGCGTGGGCAGTTCGCCCTGATGGAACGTCACAGGGAGGTCTGCTGGTCTTCCTGTGCAACCTTGAAGAGTTGAGCTCAGAAAAACCAACGCCGCTGACAGTACTCCAGTGGCAGTCCAAGAAGTTGCAGCGCATTTGCAGGTCTTCTTTGTCTGCTGAAGCCCAGGCTGCCGCAGCAGCTGTTGATGAGCTTGAATGGAGCAAGATCTTCATGGCTTGCGTTGTGGACCCCACCTTGGACATTGGTTCAACTGAGGCCCTCAGGAAGTTTGGCACGTCTCCACTTGCCACTGATGCTCGATCCTTGTCGCGAAGCATCACCCCTGGCATGAAGTTGAGTGAACGCCGCACTGCAATCGAAGTTGCTATAGTGAGGGATCGAATGGCAGCTCTTGATGGACGATGGTTTTGGGTGAACTCACAACAACAAATAGCTGATGGTTTGACAAAGCCTGCAGCAAAAGACAACCTTGCCTATGTCTTGAACCGAGGAACTCACAAGTTAAGCTTTGAGCCGGACTTCATCGCCGCCAAGAAGGTCACCTACGAGGAGAAAGAAGCTGAGAGAAAAGAGCACGAAGAGGCATCGAAAAACATCTTCGAAAACCAGATCTTCACGCTGGAGGAGAAAGATGGAAACCTTTGCGCCCTTCCTGGTTGTGAGAAAACATGTGATGCCTCCAATCCAAAGAATAAGTTCTGCTCCAGGCGCCACTTCTACCTTCATGCCCATCGACAAGGTCAAAGGCATGATGCTTGGAGAACTGCAGCCATGTCGGCTGTAACTTGTTTGATCGCCAATGAAATGCCCGTTGCTGAAGGAAGCCCTACCGAGAACTATGAGCACATCCCTGAGTCCAGCTTCGGCACTCGCTTTTGGCTCACTGACTGTTGGTGTTTTGGTTTTCTTTGCATGCATTGGCCTGGAGCACATGACCTACAAGATCTACAATCTATTCCTCGAGAAGGCTATGGTTCTGTGGAAGAAGAATGAAGAGAATGAAAAAGAAGAAACGGTCGAGACCAATGACCGAACTTGCACCTTGCCTCAACATCGTGAAGAGGTAATGGAACAAATCCTGGCACTCTCAAGACGACCAGGCATCGACTACCGACCGGGCATTGACACCAGCAGTTCGACTTGCAACTCCGACAGCGAGCTTGAAGATGAGGAGTACAACCGATGGAAAAAGCTTCTCAAAGAAGTTGAAGATGAACCCAGCTCCAGCGCTTGGAGGAAGTTGTTGAGAGATTTGAATGATGAGAACAGCGCCTTGGACAGTCAGACACGCCTCATCCTGACCACCGAGGGCTACACGACCCAGCGCTGGCGGAAATTCAGAGAGCTTTTGAAAACAGCTCGAACTCAGAGCTTCTCGGATGATCAGGTGCGCCAATGGCACCGGATGTGGAATGACAACATCTGCTTCCTCGCTGACTGCAATCAGCGCATTGTGAGGCAGAGGGCTCGCATTGAATCCCTCGAGCAGATCAACCGCCTTCAGTTCCTGAATGAAAAGGGTGAGATCAAGGACAAGATGGTCCAAACGAAGTTGAGTTTCGACCAGGACACCACTCTGCCAACCAGGACGGCCAACGTCCTGCCTGACCATGCTTGCGGAGCATGGGAGTTTCGAAGCGACCTGAACAGGTCTTAGAAGGGCTTGAATTTTGAATGTTTTTCGAGGCCATAAAGCTTTGGCCTATGTCAACATGCGAATGCATTTTGCTGAACACCTGTCATGAGGTGTCATGTTTTCCACTTGCGACTTCCGTCGCATCTCTGTCCGAAGGGCCCTTGAACCGACCGTGTTACAACCTCGACACTTGCAGCCATAAAGGTGCGCTTTCTTTTGCAGCTTGGACGCTTTGTGGACTTCGGTTGCCACCATTGCGATTGAGATGTACAATACTACATTACAAATACTCGAAAAAACGCATCGCTCAAGGCATGTCACAACTAGAGAAAGTGAATATCACTATAGCCAAACATGGCCCGACTCTGCACTATCTGCTGGCATACCCCTTCTTGCCGTATAGCATTTTTGTTTGTGTATTGTGTTAGTTTCTCGAACGTTATATACTAGCTGCTAGCTTTCGTGATCACCACAAACCACAGAAACAAAAACCGAATCCACTACACAACTGCCCAACTGCAAGTAAGGAATTGAGGATTGACCTTCAATACGCAGTTCACACCCAACATTGCTGAACTGCAAATCCTGATCAAACACCGCAACAGGCCGAGACAAAAACAAAGGCGGCCCCAGAAAGGACGTGTGCGGACGTGTTAGCCTACTGCTGGCAAACCTGAATTCTTGCCCCGATGCACTGACTATCACATTGCTATTGCGTGGGAACGCTTCACAGGAAGAGAAGCACACGAGAGACTAAGATGACAACACCGTGGGGAACCGGAGGAAGCCTAAAATAAATGCAAGTCTCTCAAAAAGGATTCTGGAAATGGAAGGCGCCGCCTGCCTTTGCAAGACGAGTTTGAAAGCCCATGGCTTTGTTGTTGCAAGCCACCTCACTGTGGAACATTTGAACGCCCGGGAAAGAAAAGGTTGGCGGTAGCGGGTGACCTTTCTCCGTCAACAGCCATGCCTTTGGGCCCTCTTCAGCACCTTGGCTGGACGAAACTGCTCATCGGGCAATCTGCCCCAGATGGATACTTTGCTCCGTCAAACCTGTGGCAGCTTGGCGCTTGAGGACTTGCAAATAGAAAAAACCTGGCGCGTGTAAAAGATGTGCAGTTCCCTGACGGCACCAGCGAGACCATTCACTAGAGACACTAGAGTCAATAAAGAGCCATTCCCTCAGCCACAAACTGCGCAACGCCCGCTGTGCAGGCTCAGCATCTAGAATCAGAAACCTGGAACCATACAACCTCCTATGGAGGCACACGTCCCAAATTCAAATATCGACTAATGAGCCACTTGCCTTCAGTCAACGAAGCCAAGGCCGTCCATTGCTGCTTCAACCACTTCATTCAGCTCCTCGTGATGCAAAAGCCCTCGTGTCTGAGATCTACAGGGTTATTACACTGGAAAACAAAAGCACTTCATCTCCAACCAACCAATTCTCAGCCGTCCTCATCGGACTCGCTGCTGCCATCGAAGCCAACACCCACCTCCTGCAACATGACTTCCAAGTCTTCTGTAACCACAGCAGCCACCTCCAACAGCAAAGAAAAGAACACCAAAACCCTCAACTCGAAGTAGCAAAACACGCCCCCAAAAAACAACACGCGCCTCGCCCGCTCGAACTTCGCCCACCTGGGCTGCCTCCAGGACCACTATGGCCCCTGCGTTAGCATTACCATTCTCTTCTGTCAGGGTTGTTTTTCCTTGTTCCTCATCAATTGCAGTCGCTGCTGCCGCTTCTTTCCCACGGCACAAGTGGGCGTAGCAAAGCGAGCCAACGACGAAGCTGAAGCAAAGAAAAAGCAAGGCGGCAAACGGCAAGACCCAAAGAGCGCTTGGTTCGGAAGGCTCTGAAACCACTGGCAGCCCACTAATCTCAAGTTCAAAACCAAGAACCTGAGCTTGAAAAAGCCCGCTGGCCAAGTTCTCATTGATCGAAGCCTCCACTTCCTCCAGCGAGATTTCTCGGCTTGCCCAGTCCGTTGCAAGAGCCAGCGACGGGAAAGAACGGCTACAAGCATATTCAACCAAGATCATGTCTTTCGTGTCATTTTCGCTGAGACGGCGTCCTGCATTTCTTATATCAGCAGCTAAAATGGTGACGTTCAACTCAATAGAATGAACACTGACATTGAGGGCGGAGGCAATGGCTGTGGCGAGAGCTGGTTTGACATCTGGGTCAGAGACGAAGTATTGAAGCAAGTAGTTATGTTTGAATGTGAGCGGCCACTTCTGGAGTGGCTGTAGTTTCACAGCTCCCCGCAAGAAGACCGTCCACGTCGTTGTGGTCGTCCTGGTAGTGGATAATGCAACTGAAGCGACCGAGGTTGTCCCCTTTGTGCATGACAACGGTTTCCCATTCAGCACGCGATCACTACCGCATGTGTACATTGTCTCAAAGCCTGTCTCAGGGCTTCTTGGAAGCCATCCATCAGCGCAAGAGACAATGCAGGTTTCGTCCGTTGAAACATTTGTGCAATTGTGGGAGATGCTTGGGTCTCCTGCCGGAATGTTGTATTTGCCTCGGCAAAAACTCAACCACTACAAGGCACAATATGTACTATGTATGCAGATTCAGCTGATGTCCATGTTTGTTTAGACAAGACAAGTTGCAGACCTGCGCCACACAAGAAGGAATGACCCCTCGCAAAGCGAATCCGTTGACTGGCTCAGTCAAGGCAGCGCTTCCACCGTCAGCGCAAATCCATTCAACAGCACCTTGTTCAGCAACGAAACCCACACGGCAGAACGCAAAGCAGCTTCGGTCTGCAGTTACACCTTGGAAAGGGCGAGGGAAACGCATCTCTAAGCCAAGACTAGCGCTTCCATCCTTCACCCACACGCGAGCGCGCGCGCGCTGTGCAAAGTTAGTCAGGGAGAGCTGGGTATGGGCGATAACCTCCTGAGTCCATGCCCTGCTGTTCTACACATGTGGTTCACATTGCTGCAGTGGAGACCTGCGTCCCGTGAGCCCAGCGGCATAAGTAAGAATCAAGAGTCAAAAAGGTTTCAACGTTAGAATTTAGAACGTGCAAGTACGCTGGACTTGGCCTCCAGGGCCAGCTTTGTTGGACACGCAACACAACACCCCCTGCGCCCACGCATGACATTACAATTTGGTTCAACATGGCAAGGGAAAACTTCATCAACCAATGAAACCCAAAACTCAAGCGGTGACATACGTAGCGACCGGCGCACGCACACACTCTCAAAACACGAATGCCTACAACCAAGCGCGGTTGCCCTGCAGGAACCTAAGTAACCAAGGAGGCCTAAGAAAATAAGGTACAAGGTTTAGCGGCGTCCGCCCATGAAAATTCAAACGCGCCGGAAGTTTCAAACGTTTCCAAATGGTTCAAACGGTCCAACAAAATGGCAAGCTGTGGACGCCTTGGCAGTAGACTCATGGGTGCGTTAATTATTGCATAATTATTGCCCCCTACATTTTATATCAAAACAAAATTAGCGTCAAACTCCACAGAGACCTGTGCCTCCAGTGTACACACACACAAACCCGAACTGTTGATAAATTCGTAGAAAACTGAGCCCTGCACCGTCGCAAGAATGCTGCAAAAATTGGAATTGGCCGTTCAACTGCTCTGTGTCACACACCACACTTTGGCATTGGGGGCGTCTTCCCCCAACTGTGAGATCCGAATTGCACAAGATGCTCTCAGCCGACCCATTTTGCATATAGCCCTTTCGACAGCTCTGAATACAAGACTCACCCACTTCAAGTTCAGCACTGCCTGGGTGAAACATGCGTGACAACAAAAGGCTGAGCCCAAGAGGGAAAAACTACAAACAGCAAGCAAGTGCTAAAGCGCAAACTGGTTCTCTCAAAGTTGAGAAACAATTGTCGGTCCATGAGTCGCTTGGGTTCAAGTCGATCGAGCAAGTCAAAGCCTGCAGGGGAAGGCGGTAGAGAAAATTAGACGACAGAGTGGCCCGAAAGCACAGCAGGCGAGGACAGAATGCAATGGTGAGGATGAGGGCAATGAGGATGGTGATGATGATCTTCAGAAAGCAATCTGTGAAACAAGCGTTTGTAGCACCACTTTTCTCGTCGGGTCAGCGTAATGAGACAAGCCTCGCAGCACGCTGCAATCAACTTCTGTTCCCGCAGTAGGCAAGCAGAAAGGTAAAGTAGGGCGGATCGAAAGTAGCAAGTCAGCAGTGCTGCGAAAAGGCACCGTATGGCAGGGTGCCAGGCGCTAGAAAAGGCACCCATATGGGCCCACGAAGATTTCAATCATGCAATCATCCCGCTCCCTAGCGAGACGCACGCGCATGAGGCCGCGCAAAACCGCATGGCACAGCGACATCACAGACGCACTTTCGCCGCACGGTGCGTCATAGACTTGATACAGCAATGTAGCACTGTGAACATCGCCGATCCTGGATCCTCTCGCTCCTCCGTGACACACAGCGTTTACACACGCATGCGGACGCGGCCGTTTCGTTTCCAAATGCCATAGCTTCGACAAGCTGCTTCCCACACTACATTTACACTACAGCGCTATAAAGTTACCGGTTCTGAGGCCACAGCCCCCAGAAACTGCTTCCGGCGCTACATTTGGACTACAAAGTTACCAGCTCTCACGCCACATCCAGGCAGAGGCTTCCTGCGCTAAGATGTCAGTTCTCAGGCCACATCCCGGAAGCAGCAAGCGCCGTTCGAAACCTTGGTCGCTGCGCCTGCCTTCCTCCAGCTCCCCGCGCACGTGTCTGCACCGTCTTCTCACGACTGGCTTTGTTCGCGCGCCGTGGCCTGACCAAGTTCAAGGTCTCCAGTGACGAACTCATCTTGGCACACGCCTTGAAGCCTTGAAGCTTTGACCATCTTTGGGAACAACAGCACGCCAAACACAGCAACCGAGGGAGTCTTTTTTACAAATACTTACCGTTTCATCAACTCAGCCAACAATCTTGCTCAGTTTGCGCAAGCCGTCCTACCACAGCGCGGTGTCCAGTTCAGCCCTTTTGGCCATCTTGCACCATGGAGACGGACAGCGCCAACCAAGTCTCAGAGATGTGGGGGCGCTGGGCCCGTGGGTGAAGATGGAGGTGGCAGGGAGTCAAGCGGCCCCGGTCCACCACGTTGAACGACGCGAAGGGCCAGGGAAAAGGAATTGAAAAGGAAAGCCGGGCAAAGAGAAGATTCAACAAAAGGAAGAAGACCGCCGCCAAGATCAGAAAAACCTTCTTCAAGTGCTAAGCAGACTGGTTCTTCGGCTCTTCGGCAAAAGGACAGGCTCCTATATAGAGACGGGCCCCATCGTTTTTGCGGAAGCTGCAGTCATGAAGACGGTCGCACACACCAAGCAGGTGATCTGCACAGAGCACAAAGGACAAGCCGTCGAGACGACGCAATGCTGACCTTGTTGCAGACACAGCAAGGAAAAAGCCCCGGCTCGAGCATCATCCCATGGCGCCTGAATGTAGGCGCTTGCTGCGTGTGGCCACGGCTGAACGCAGCCCCTTGGCTCAACATCTGGGACGGCTGCTGACAGATCTTTGTGCGGCACTGAACTTATGCTACATGAGCACGGCTGTTTATGAGCATCGCGACCCAAAGATTGAGCCCTTTCGCCTGATATCTTTCAAACCCTGCTGGTTGATCCAGAGGCGCAAGCCTTGGCTCTGCTTTCCAATATGTTGCAGGGGTGGAAATTTCTAGCAGCGTGACGTGGTCGACTTCGCGCGCTACCGCTTGAGCCTCTCAACTCACTCAAGACCAGATGGCGAGCAATCCAAGGTATACTGGGCTGAGGTATGGGCGCGCGTGTTGGACTGCCGCGACATCATGCCCCTGGCGGAGTGCCCTGACTTGCGCCGCCGCTTGGTCAAGGAATGCCTGCTGCGCAGCTGCTGGCCGCCCAACATGCTGCTGCCCTTGGAGGAGTGCCATGGTGACCTACTGAACCGTGCTGAGCAGCTGAGTAGCGGCGTCACGCAGGCCTTTCAACAAGGCCGAGCCTTCCCGTATTTGCGCATGTTATTTTTAACTTTACTATAAAGGTAGTTGGGATGCATATCGATGCCCATGCATTTTGCCTCCTTGCGCCTGTTCTGGAAAGACTCAAGCTAAGAGACAACAGGCTGAGCCTCTGGACGGTGCGTTTTGACCTGCGCAAGCTTCTCGAAGCATGAGCTGAAAGGGCTCCAAAGGGACAGGCCCACGCAATCTGCTAGATGCAGAGCGTCAGGAAAGATCATGATGATGATGGTGATGATGATGATGATGATGACAGTTAGACACTTAAAGTTGGTAGCCGTTCTTTACTGAGAACCCTTCGCAGGCTCTGTCGGGGATACTCAAGCGGCAAGCATATAAATATATAGATATATATTTTTTAAAGTATAGCTCAATAATATGACTGAATCACCCCCGCGTTCTGAAACACACTGTGCCTCACAAGTGGGTAAGGAGCCTGTCAGAGCAAGGCTTCCATTCACCAGGTCGCAGTGCCAAAGTTCCCCTTTTCCTGGCGGCAACTGGTGGGAAGTCACCAGACTGATTGAAAACGCGAAAGCCAGCAACGCCGAATTTGATTGTCACCCGATAAACTTAACTGTCGCACTTGCCCTAAGGTCCGTGTCGAGTTGCTACGAAAAATTGCGCTGCGGTACCGGACAAATCTATCATCGAATCGAAATATTCCGTAGTTACTTACTACTATGCGTGTGTTGTTTCTATTCACAAACGTTTCCGGTCCGTGTTCTCCTTGCGTCAGTTTGTAACCGGTGGCACAGTAGACGCTGCAACTTTGCCCAAAGGATGCGTTTTCGCAGTTGTGAGCTACGGCCGGTGCTCCAAGGGCCGGGGTCTGTGGACATTGAGCAGGTAGGCAGAGAGGAAGCGTTCCCACCAACAAACCGCTGGAATGACAAGTCATCTCTCCTGAATTTGGAATCATGCCTTGCTGGCAAGAAACGGTGCAAGAGCTACCCGTAGTCACACCATTGCAAGAATCGGACTGAAAAACTTCCCCGGACATGGTATGAGAGCAAGGGTTTGCCGTGCAGGTTGGCAATGCGCCCTCAACGATTGCGTTTGCCCCACAAATGTACTGCGAAGGAGGCCCAGTGAGCGAGTAGCCTTCTGCGCAAGAAACAGCACACGCATCTTGGAAAACCATGCCGCGACAATTGTGCTCAAATTGGGATGCCAGCGTCAAATTCTCACACGGTGCAGGAGCGCAGCTGGGGTCCTGTCCTTGGAATTCTCCTGTTGCTAGGCACTCGAAGACTTCTGGCCCAGACCCGCTGTTGGCAAAACCAGGGGCCCCACATGTTGCTGAACAACTCCCTCCTGTGGTGACCTAAGAGGACACAACTTGTCCAGAAAGTTGCCTTTCTGGATCCTTGAAAATTGAAATGTCCAAAACCTGAAGTGACCGTGTCTTGCATTCAACATGTCAATTGAATCAATTTGGTCAAATCTCTGAGGATGTTTCAATCCAAGCGACGCCAGAACAATTGTGTGTAACTCCCAATGCGCTTGGCAGGTTGTAAGTACAAGCCACAGGAGAGCAGCTCGGCAGACTCCCTGTCAGCACTCCGTCTTGGCATGTCAGCAGGGAAGCATCTCCGCTCAAAGCCCAACCAAAGTTGCAATGGCAGATGCAAATTTCCGTATCCGCCACAGTTGCGCAACCTTGGGAACGATTAGGCTCGACATGGCACATCTGTTGGGCAGCCGACTAGAAACTAGCGCAGTATGTCAATAGATCTCAAAAAATTGTTCATCAATGTCAAAATGTTCCTTCTCAACCATCGCGTGAAACTCTTTGGGAAAAAACTACAAGTTGTCCAAAAAAGATCAGGTCAGGGGGTGTTTCCTTGAAGAAGACTGTCCAGAGACCGCGTCCTAAGTCCTAAGTAGTCGTGGTGTACTTAATAGCTGCTAGCTTCTTAGCCCTTAGCTGATTACTTGTTGGCTGTCTCCTCACGCCCTTTCCCCCCCAACACAGGACACCAAAATCGTCCCTTTCAACGTGTGGGCCTAAACGAGCCATGGCGCTGTGCTCATATGCATTCGTCAATCCGAATGCGGCCACTGCTGGCTCGCCACAGCCTGCGCCAACCAGTCGCCGGGCAGTGGCGTCGCTTGGATTGAAATCCACAAGCCGTCGAGCAGAGCAGCTGATTGCTGAGCCAACGGGCGCTAGGGCCGCGCCCCCTGCGTTCGAGTCAGCAACGCAGCTGTAAGCCTGACGGAGCTGGATGTACAAGTAGCATGCTGAACACAATCTGGGATTCTGAGTTTATGTTCTTTCATGGCAGTGTGTCAGGGTTTCCCCCGCTGCTGGTGTGTGTGTGTGTGTCAAACCCTGTTTCCAAGGGACTCTGACCACCACTCCACTTTGCAATGCAGGGGGACGGGACACCACTAGCACTGCCCGTCCAACGAAGAGGGTGCCAGTAGGTGCTGAAGCAGTGGAGGACGCTCCACTGTGTACCTGCTTTAACGGTTGAGCAAGCTGTCCAATTGATCTTGTTTGCTTCCATGGTTCTTCACGCTACTCCCCACTAACCATTTTCCCTCCGCCATTTTCAACTGCTGCGGGTTCATGAACTGCAGACAAGTGAACAATGCGTTAAACATTTCAGTTGCGCTGACCTTTTCGCCTTGCGTTTCCCCCACCTTCCTTCTCGACTGGGGAATTGAGTTAACTGAAAACCAATGTCAGAGTGTGAACCGCTCAGCCGTCCCACTTGGGTCCTGGGTGTGGTCCCCGTCACTGGGGCGCTGAATTCATGCCGGATTTTCACTAACAGCTTTTATCGTTTCCACCGTTCGTTGGATTCTCTTAACGGACTCGGTTTCACTACTGAATTGTCTGAATAAAAAGCCGCCGGGCATTTACCCAAATTTTCCCTTACTGACTTACACTCAGATTGTCATTCAGAATTCCACTCGCAGCCGAGTTTTCGACTTCCAGGATGTACAGTTAGGACGTTCGACCACACTTACTGTGAGATTCACCATGTTCACTTTCAATCATGTTCACTTTCACTATCATACAAGGTTTTCCACAGGTGTCACTCCACCATTTTTCGCAATTTCATTCCACAGGTATCAGTGGCTAGAGTCTGTCCGCTGCCGCCGCGCTGGTACCATTGAGCAACGGTCCACATTCGACGCCACAGCAGTCTCAGCTGACTTGCAGTATCCTTGGCCATACCCATACCACACACAGCCACTACCTCCAACAGCACCACCGACTTTTCCAGTTCCGCAAGCACAGCCACATCTCCATCCTACGATGCCACCCACACAGACCACTATGCCACATTTCACTTAACCAACTTGGCAACCTATTGTCCACCTTCCTGCTCCACAGCCAACATTACCTCCAGCGTTCCACCCTCCTCCAACATACCCGCTCCCCTGCACCTTGCCACGAGCAGAGCCCACGCACACGCCTGCCTCCAGCCACTACTCCACCACACCCCACTCAGGCTCCTGCTGCACCACCGTCCCACCAATCGCCGCCGCAGCCAACACTCCCCAATGGGACCCTCAACAAGGAGTGTGGCAACCATTCTCGTTCATGGCGTCCCGGTGGAAATGGATCAGAAGAATACAAGACAGCAAAAATGTGTGATTTGGTCATGCATGTACCCTGCTTGATTACTTAGCGGCGTGAAAATGGCATGTACATGAACGAGTGGAAAATTCCGAACTGGAGTTGATCTCAGTAAGCCCTGCGGCACTTTGAGAGTAAATCCCCCAGGGTCTGGGTCTGTGCACATGCGGCGCCTCTTGACGGGGATCACACCACAGCCCTCACTGGGACCCTGTGGCGAAAACACACTTAGATTGTTGCTCGCAAGAGCTCATACCAGTATGAAGTTCCACTTTAGGCGCATTAGACCTTGACTGAAAAGGAATGCAAACAGAAAGGTGAAGAGGTCCGCGGATTTGGAGATTTTTGAACAATGTTGTGTAACCCTTGGTATACCGAGCAGTGAGTTAAACATGTCCCGCAGGTACGTCAGAGTGGCCAACTCTGATGTCACCAGATCAAATGAGCGTCTTCGTTGGTAGCGGTCCCAAATGATCTGCCGCTACCCCCTGCTGCTATCAAAGAATCTCTTTGAGACGTATCCGAAAGTACAAGGATTAAAACAGTCGTAAAGGGTGGAATGAAAATTTGGAAACAGGCGTTGGCGCACACACACACACACCTTTGTCTTGTCTTGTCCTCTTTTCATGTCTTAATCTTTTTGTCCGCGTTGCGCGCGCATGTGCACATTCGCCTTAACCTTTAGTTTTTCGCCTCCCCTCGGGGGGGCGTGTGTGTGTGTGTAACCCTTGGAATCATAGGGATCCTTTCGGATTGTTTTCGCTTCACAGTTGTTTTCCTTGTGTAGCAGGGGGACTGGAGCCGATTTGCCTATCCAGTCCAACGAAGCTATGGCATTTCGGCGGATGAGTGGTCTGACCAACCACTTGTACCTGCACAATTTTTAAACCTTTGGTAAAGGGCTAATGCACTCGGCAGACATGAACGAACGTCGTCAGCCTGCTCGATCCGCGATCGTCGATAGGTTTCTTCCGCTTTGGGCCTTCTTTCCTCTTAAAGTCCTCCACGTTCCCGTGGTTCGTACTTGTTCCCTTAGGAATTGGAACCCAGGCCGGCGTGTGGCACCGCTTTCAGTTCAGTACACCCTATCCTAATTGTGTTTGGCCTCGCGCCAACCCGGGATGAGCCCGCAGAGTGCCTCCCGTGGACCCGTCGAATGGGTGTACGTCGAACGTATCCACTGCCCGGATACAGAGCAGCTCGCAGCGAGCGTAGGTGGCCTAGGCCGTACGTACGATAATTTTGTCCCATCTTTGGAATTCTAAGCTGGCTCGTGCCTTTACGTGACGGTAGCGGTCAAAGATGGCAGCCCCTGGGCAAGCCGTACGTGGTCGCAGCGACCGAAGTTTGTTCAAGGTTCATTGGAACCTGTCGCGACCTTAGCCCCCTTCTCCCCCTTCCCTTCCCCCTTTCTTTCTTTGC